TTATGTATTCGAAGTGAATGAGTAAGTATATTATGTAAAGCTAGTCACTTTTAGGTCTTTTTATAGTACAATAGTTGAAAACACTGAGTGGGCATTGAATTAAAATGACTGTCACAGGGTGGTTCAGTCAATGGATGTTTTTAAACTAAGTTCATCTTGAACTGTCCCACATAAATTCATAGGTTTTTTTTTTTTTAACACATGGTTTATTTGCCACAAAAACACATGTGGTTTTGTTTTTCAGAGTATTTTCTGTGGATGCAAATAGCCCAGAAAAACAGAGAGAAATCCCAGTATCTTTTGTTTTTAGAGGAAACAAACAAAAGAATAATACAGATAACTTACACAGAGAAGGAGGTCAAGCAAGAAATCTGACAGAGTATACTACAAAAGTATACACAGGTGACAAAAGGGGAGCAGTGACTGATGCCAATGTGCATATTATTTTATTTGGGAATGAGGACAAATCTGAGGTATTCCAACTCACTCAGCCACTGGAGCATCAAAACCCCTTTGAAAGAGGAAAGGTGAGTACACAGACTTCATAGACTGTGTTCATTTCTGAACTGGGAAAGCAAACTTTAAATCTGTGCAAGATCTTAAGACTTTATGGAACTTAAGACATTTATCCCATTTTCCACATCACTAAATGAAAGGCAATCTCAGCTGTCTCTGGTTTCACCTTTTCACCAGAGAAACCAGTGGACATCTTACTCCTGTTGTATCTAGCTGACTCTGTTGCTCTTCTGTCTCTCAGTCTCAAATACATCTTCACTTATCTTCCCATTCATGCATTTCCTTGATCCAAAATGCACCACATGCATTGCCTGTGCCTGTGCATATACATGCAATATCCCTTTGTGCTGTTGCACAAACTTTGAGTATTGTGCTTGAAAACACATTAGTCTCTTCCATCCCTTCATTTTCCTTTGCCATGGAAACTGATGCTGCGAGCCTCACTGAATGGAGAAGGTTATAAGCAGATAAATGGAACCATGATCATCAAGCTGATTCTGATTCCCATCGTGGTTTAGGCTGTTCAGAGACCCCTAGTTCAGATACAGATATTTGCATAAGAATGCTGGTTCTCAGTGAGATGCCCTAATACCTTGGCAGAACGTTCTCCTATTTTAATAAACGTATCAGCCTGGCAAAGGAATTCCTCCATTTGCCCACCACCACATGCACAATGGCATATAATGATGGTTACCCTTCTGTAGCAAGAAATAAATATATTTTCCATATCTTTCTCCTGTGGATTTCTTCTGTTGGAAAGGTAATGACTGAATAATTAAAACTCTAGTTAAAGTATCTTCCTTATGAGTTCTACCTCATTATTTCTAGCAGTGTTAAACTTCTTTTTACTTGCAGTTGGTCCAAGTTTCTTCAGTCAGGATGTCTGTGAATATCTTCTAAAAGAAAGTTCTCATGTATTGTCTTCCACACTGAGGAGATAAATAAATCTAGTTATCTATAGGCACAAGGAGCATGTAAGAAAGTGTCTTATCTAGTATTGTCTTTTGCCTAGTCCTACAAAGGACACATCATTGCTCTTTGCAAAAGAAGAGTAGATACATAGGTATCCTCTTAGCAATCCAGCTAAGTCAGTGGGTAGCCAGTGATGTCAAATGTCTTACGAAAAAAGAATCTAATTTTTAGAAAATCTGTAACATAAAAAAGGTAATATTTTAAATTAAAATACATAATGTTTTAGGAAGATAATGGCAATGTAGTAAAAGCCTTTATCTCTTATGTTCTTAAATGTATGTTTACATGTCACTGAAAAGATTTTAGAAGTCTGTATCAGTTGAAAATTGATGAAAGAGAAAAAATGTTTTCCTGGTAGTTGAAAGTGAGCAAAGAGGCAGAGATTGTCTTACTACAAGTTAAAAAGTGAATCTTTCATGTTTAATCTGAGACCTAGCAGAAGAGGATCTTATACCACAGATATTCAGTAAGGAAAATAAACCACATCAGGTGTCAGCCACTTATTTTGAATTTGTATTACTATATTTGAATTGGTCTCAGAACTGACCTAAACAAATATGTCTGCAGACATTGGTATATTATTTTTAATAACTGTACTTTAACATTAAAGGTTGATAAATTCAAGATTAAGACAAAAAAATTAGGCAGCCTACATTCAGTTGAAATTGGTCACAATGGAAAAGGATTTGGTGAGTATACTGCATGCATTCAATAGCTTTGTAAAAATCTGCTTAAAGATCTGCTTGACATTTGGGAGGGTTTTTGAAGTCATGCTACTGCTACAGCTAGCTAATACAAATCTGTATACAAATAAGGCCAGTTTGACTGCTCTTGCTTACAGCCTCTCTGTCTCTCACATTTTCCTTGACTTTACCTTGACTATTTTTCTTTTCTAACAGAGATCTAGTTAGCATAAACCTCAGAAGATTTTTATCCTTTAAAGATTGCTCAGCCCAAACTCCTATTAGATGTCTTAAATAACATAGGGCTGAATTTTCAAACTGCAGGCTAAACTTTCCAAGCTTTGAATATTAGCTAAGAAATAGGGCAACTTTGGAATTCTGGTCAAAGCATAGCTCCCCATGACATACATCCAGCTTTTCTTCTTGTGAAAGCTAAACTATGAGGAGAACACTGTTGTCCAGTTCTTGCTCTGATGCTGTGAGGCTGTGAGGCTGTGGCTACAGTACAAACCCATACATGATGACAGAAGCTGTTTCTGTGTACAGTGTATTATGCAGGACCTCTAAAACCTGAATCACAGAATCACAGAATGTTAGGGCTTGGAAGGGACCTCCAGAGATCATCGAGTCCAACTCCCCTGCCAGAGCAGGACCATCTAGTCTAGGGCAGGTCACACAGGAACACATCCAGACAGGTCTTAAAAGTCTCCAAGGAAGGAGACTCCACAACCTCCCTGGGGAGCCTGTTCCAGTGCTCTGGAACCCTTACAGTAAAGAAGTTCTTCCTCGTGTTGAGGTGGAACTTCCTGTGCTCCAGCTTGTGACCATTGCCCCGTGTCCTATCGCAGGGCATAAGTGAGAAGAGATTGCCCCTTCCTTCCTGACACCCAGCCCGCACATATTTATACACATTAATTAGATCCTCCCTCAGTCTTCTCTTCTCCAGATTAAAAAGCCCCAGGTCTCTCAGCCTCTCCTCATAGGGCAGGTGTTCCAGTCCCCCACTCATCCTCGTAGCCCTTTGCTGGACTTTCCCGAGTAGATCGGGAAGTAGAGAGAAGGGAAGGAAACTCCACACTGGCAGACTTTTAGCACTCTGAGAATTGCACAGAAGTCTGCAAGGGAAATAAAGGCTGAAGTTTTATTTCCTGGATCCCAAACTATCAACAACATGATTATCTTTCTTCTCTGTGTCCTGATCAACATCACATAGCTGCTAATCCTGTCTTCCTAGCACAGCTGGTGTGTGTCGATTCATCTTACATCCCTGACTACCTTCCTCTAAATTTTTCTCTGAAATTATCTCCAAGTGTCTATGGTCACATCAGCTGTTATCCTCACAAGCACGCTCAAACATAACACCTCTTTGAAATGTTTCATCTGTTTGCTAATCTTTCCTAGCTGCCTCTAGATTTCTCCACACCTGGAGATTTCACTGAGGTCTGCTGGAGTTTTGTCAATAAAGGATAAAGTATTAGATTTTAAACTTTTCAAGAGAGCAAACATGCCTTTCTATTAGTTTGTAAAGTGCCGTGTAAATTTGAGAGACTATTCATAGGTTTTGCTGATAATCTTGATGATAATCTTGACTCTGAATTACAGAGATTTCATGAAAGGTCATATATTCCAAGTAGAGTCTATGATATATTAAACCATTCACAGGATTCCATTAAAGAAGTTCCAAAAGTACTTCACAATGTCAATAAATAACTCATGTGAGTTGAAAATGAAAAAATATTGACACATTTATGGCCTGGTTATACTAGCTAATTGTTTGAAAATGTCCATTGAAAGTAAGAAACATCGCTATGCTTTTATGTGTTATCTAAATTGGTACAATCTGCAAACATTTTTTATGTTACATATTTAGCCTACTTACAAATAAAAATATTTTTTATCAGCTTTAACCTACTTAGTGCTTTGTCCAAATATTTGAAAAGCAAAATATTTTGTTAGAGTATTTTATCTCTAATACATGCAAAGAATACCAAAAGGTTTACAGCTACTAGCAGTGTGATCCTAATTGGTTTTAAATGTTTTCTTTAAGTACTTGCATTGGCAAATGTAACTAAAGATGTCAGCACAAACATCATAAAGCTATAATAAAGTTTTATTTTAAAAATCTTCATATTTTAATATTCTATAGCACTGGAATGAAGAATTTTTCATACAGCAAAATAGGAGATTTATAGCAGAATATGAAATATATTCTTAAAGCTAAAACAGATATGAGTGTTAGCCTAAATGGAGATGCTTTTCTGAATCACAACTGCTGGAGAAATATAGATATGAGAAGCATTCAGATTCACCACTTGGTTTATATAAGTATCAATATGTTCATTAGAAAGAAGGAGTAGAATTTCTGATGTTTAAGGGCTTGGTTTATTATTAAAGGAATTGCATCTAATGTTAAAGTCTATTTGGTTTTATGTTTTGGTGGAATCTGAAGACCAAGGCCCACCAGGGGTGTACTTTGAGTGCATTTCAGAGTACTGAAAAGGTTAAAATGGGATTTCAACAATGTACTCAATATTATCATGCACTCTGTTTCATTTGTCTTACTGCCTGTTCTGTTCTATACGGAAAAATAATGTAAGTTGTAATAAAAATCTTCCTTTGTATTTTCTGTCAAAAACATCAAAGACCTCCTCTGTAAAACTGAGAGAAGTTGGTAGTAATAGGATTCATCTATATTTCAGTTTTATTATTGATATTGAATACATTTGGAAGTATTGAGCCACACAGGGTTTGGACATGAAATCAGAAAGCTTTCTTATGGTTTATTTGTGTTTTGGTTATATTACATTTGCTCTTCTTTTCCTTCTCCAGGAAGTGGCTGGTTTCTGGAAAAAGTAGAAATTACAGATGCATCTGGGAATTCAGTGTACTGCTTCAACTGCAACAGGTCAGTAGATCAGCTCATCATCACTCTGTAGGTGTTTTTTTCTTTTAACAAGAATCAGAAGTAGTCATTTTAGTCTCTCAGTTGTTTCTCTTCTGGTTGAGTATAGTAAGAATTTTTTAACCATGCTGTGTTCCTATCAGCCCATCCCCACTTTTGAACCCTTTGGACAATTTCAATCTGATTTGTCAGAAGAATATTTAGAAGCAGACACTATATTTTCCCAAGTTATTAACACTGGATGACTGTAGAAGG